TAATTTAACCGTGACGGCCGTTTTAATTTTCTAGTGTGCATGACACCTCGCGTGTAACATGAAATTTTTAAGCAAGGCGTACAGTGAAGATTAACAAAGTACGTAAATGATATTTTAATTTAAATAATTCCGTGTCCGAACACAGTTCAACGAATGATTTAAAGGTCATGTCAAGGTCATGTCAAGGACATCTCAAGGTTATGTCAAGGTCATATCAAGGTCATGTCAAGGTTATTGATAATATTCTTCATATTTCTCTAACAAACATATCCCTTACGTTCTTTAACACGATTATTATTTATTAAATTAGCTTTGCGAATCATTCGTTAAACTGTGTTCGGACACGGAATTGTTTAAATTAAAATATCATTTACGTACTTTGTTAATCTTCACTGCACACCTTGCTCAAAAATTTCACATGTTGACCTTTACATGACCTTGATATGACCTTTACATGACCTTGATATGAACTTGATATGTCAAGGTTATGTCAAGGTTATTGATAATATTCTTCATATTTCTCTAACAAACATATCCCTTACGTGTTTTACGCTTTGCGAATCATTCGTTGAACTGTGTTCGGACACGGAATTATTTAAATAAAATATCATTAACGTAAAATATCATTTACGTACTTTGTTTATCTTCACTGTACACCTTGCTTAAAAATTTCATATGTTACACACGAGGTGTCATGCACACTAGAAAATTAATTTCGGGTCCGAAAAATTAGTAAATATTCTTCAGACGTTCTAAAGTAAATGTGAACAGCGTTTTTCTTAAAAATATCGCTGTTACGTAGTAAACAAAAATCCGGAAAGTTCTCGCTTCGTGATTTGTTCAATATTTCAAACACGGCTTGAGTCCGTCCCGACCATCTGTCAAAGCCTCGTGCTGCGGGCTCTCTCGCGGACTCTCTCTCTCTCTCTCTCTCTCTCTCTCTCTCTCGCACCGTCGCCTCTCATTGGTCAGTGTTTTCCGTTAATAACTCGTAAACAAAACCGCAGATTGCATTTTCGCAAAGGAAAAAATTACTTCAAATGACCTCAGCTAGCCCTCATTCTCGGTTGTTAAAATAATTGTGGGACACCCTGTATATCTTAATTTATTACCTTGTAATTGCTGGTTTACAACATACGTTTTGTTGCATTTCGGTGAGTCTGAATCCACCGTGGTGCTTCTAGTGAAAGTCGCAGAAGAACCTATATTACTGTTCTCTGCACTCTGTATATAGCGTGCCTGTAATTAAAAAATTTGTAATGACGACGATCTGTTTCTCATTTATCAGCTTTAACATTTTATCAGTCGTGTTGCATAATACCATTGATTCATCTCCATAAGATTTTCTCATTTTGGCCAAACAAATTAATTTCTCTTTTCTCCACAAGGAAGATTCGAAAAAACTTTGTGGGTCGGAATTTAATACTTGCGGCTGCGCTATCGCATCTTTAATAAGCCCTGGCATTTGAGCGTAAGGTGTCTAAGACAAAGATTAGCGGATTCAATTTTTTGTTTATGAAGAACAATTCAGTAGTATCTTAAAATGCATGCAGCCTGCATTATCTGAATAAGTATACTTAAGTATTCCTTTTGCCATAATTGAATTAAATTTTGTCACAATTAAAATACCATGGTGCTATAAATATATCATTGCAGATGACTCCATTTTATATTTTGTGTTTGTTGAAAAAGAAATACATTTTTAGAACTTCGTTTTTGATTATTGCATAATTTCAAAATATACTTCAGTATACTTTTCAGATCATTTAAGTTACATATCAATCACAAAATTGTACCTTGCGATATTGAATCGGCGATTTTACACAAGATGAATCATATAGACTGTTTGATTTATGGTACTTTGGTTGGATGCTTGTTTTATGACTAGCTGGTTTATGAGGTACATAGTCCACATTTTTCGCTTGGGTGAGTGTTTTCTTCTTAACTTTTTGATCTATTAGAACATACGAATTTAGAAAAGTTATCATTTTGGCGATGACATCGATTTTTAAATTAACGTGCTTTCAATTAATTGACTTTATTATTATCTTTATTATTATACAATTAATTACCTTCAATTAACTGTCCAACACTCTTTTTGCCTTTTAATAACCGCTGAGTGAATCTTGCAGAGCGACAATTCCCAAACGCGAATTCGAAAACCGAATTGCTCTATCATCCCTAGTTTTCAAAAAACACGAGGTTTTGTAAGAGCGTGCGATTTTCAGCATGTACTATACGAAAACTAAAAACGTTACAAAGATCATATTGGCCTAAAAGGTAGTGGAATGGTTCCTGAATATGATAGTATCGATATTTATAATATTTTATGCTTCTAAATAGTATTAAATGATGGTCAAAGTTTAAAAAAATACTATAAAGTATGTACTTCCTATGCAATAATTTTTGCATATTTACAAAAAATTGTTTATCTATTACGAAAACTAGCTACGGTATCTGATTCTGCAAACATTTCTGAAGAAGTATTTATGGAGAAAGAGTATCGTGCGATTTTAAATTCGTACAGGTCGAGAAAATATCTGACGGCAAATTGTATACGGTGTCTTGCTGCCGCAAAGTCTGCTGCTCGCTTATCTCGACTAGGCAGTGCCACGTTTGATTTTGACGTTTGATTTTTTTTTCAAACGTTGATGACGTTTGATTTTCGCTTTTTTTTCTATTCCTGTGAATACTAATCACCGATCTATGAAGTATTTTTTAATCAATTTCAATGAACAAAAGTTTCATTGAAAGTTCTTGTTTCTAAACTTTTTAAATTTAGCATGCTTGGGAAGTGACGTTCTACAAGAATCACTCAGTGGTTATTAGAAAGCAGATAAAAACTTTTGATGTAATTAGATTGCGGATCTTTATGCAAAATGAAATTTGTCTGCATCTAATGCAAGACATAGAAGTCAAGTACGACTTTCTTTCTTAAGTAATTGTAATAAATTAAGCTTAATACATTCACATTCTCAGTTTCTTTGAATCCTTTCACTGTTTGAAATTTCATTCACCCATCTTTGCCATAAATGCATAAAAATGATGAACTTTATCCTAATGATTACGTTCACATCATACGTACTCGGACACGAAGAAGTCTGAGAGGAATCGCTTCCATAGAAGAAATGTTCCCTCTTGCTCGCCAAGTCTTTCTTCAGCTGTTTCAAGTTCGTTATAGCATCTTTGTAAGATTCATCGTCGGTGGTGTCAATCGATGGGAACGTGCCGATAGAGGTGACCCAAGAGTCTGCGCTGTCCTTGGCTTTCTTGTACGAGCTGCCAAACGATTGCAGAAAATCAAGCGTTTCCTCGCTTCGTACAGTACTTGCCATATCCGACGTGCAATGCGAGCAGTCGTTCTTCTTGAATTTGTTCTGCATGTTATAAAACGCGTTCATATTTTTTTGGGCGCTCTCTTTCTTGCTATGTTTAACGTCATCAGCGAATACATTTACTGGCTCGATGTGTGCTACCGTCTTTATGTTTCCGATTGGCTTGGATGTGATTTTTTTAGTGAGTGAGTAATGTTTCGTTAACGATTCAGAACTGTTCGGAACGAACAATTGTTTCGCCGAAACGCTTTTTGTTAATTTCGGACCGTCGCTCTTCATCATTGCTATGGATGGCGAATTCGGCAAGTTGTAAGTTTTTGCAGGGTCGACGTTGTTGTTGTTCTTGTGTTGGTCGACGTAGATTGGTTCCTCGTCTTCATATTGCATCTAAATACATTTCAATAAAATCGACATGTTTTATTGTATAAATACGATAATAGTCTAACTGATAATCATGCTGTACAAACTTGTTTAGGAAACAAATAAGGTAGATGATCCTTTTATCGATCATGCAAAGAGAGATTGTTTTACAAAATGCGTTAATCATAAAATTATACGAATGTTCCCGTCAGATATTGAATTACATGTGCATCATTGATACATCTTCTTGTTTCATTCGAAGTTCATATATATACATATATGANAATTATTACGCTCGCGGCTTCAATTATTTCGGCAGTGGCCTCGCAGTTCACGGATAATTCGATTGATCATCCGAATGTCCACGTAAAATGTTACAAATTACCAACTTTCGAAGACCGGTTAAAAATTATTTACCACATAAAGAATTTCTGTGTTCTCGAAATCGGGAAAAACTTTATTATTAATTTTTTAACAGTTTCTGATCTTTTTTTTAAATCAACCTCTTAAGACATTTATGCATAGTAAATACAATTAAATATCCCATCCAATAAATATACTATATCATATAATAAATAGAATTAAATCCTAATTAAATATATATATATATATATATATATATATATATATATATATATAATATAATAATAATAGTAATATAATATAATTATATATATATTATATAATAATTAATAAAATATAATTATATAATATAATAATAATAATAATAATAATATATAATATATATATATATATATATATATATATATATATATATATATATTTAATTATTATTTAATTCTATTTATTATATGATATAGTATATTTATTGGATGGGATATTTAATTGTATTTACTATGCATAAATGTCTTAAGAGGTTGATTTAAAAAAAAGATCAGAAACTGTTAAAAAATTAATAATAAAGTTTTTCCCGATTTCGAGAACACAGAAATTCTTTATGTGGTAAATAATTTTTAACCGGTCTTCGAAAGTTGGTAATTTGTAACATTTTACGTNAGGTGGGATTAGAAGGGGATTAAAAGGGGAACAAACCTCCAATCTTTGAAGGAATCTACGCATTCGGTTCATATCAAGTGTTCTCTTGTTAACATCGACTTGCAGTCCAGCCTCTAGCAAATTGTGAAGCAAGGGTGGAAAGTCGAACAAATACATAGTAACTCCTTTTTTCCGTTGTGCATACTGTCGTTTCACGTCCACTCTGCTATATCCTTTCCATGGCACTTGCACTATAGAACGAATGAAAAATCATTTTTAGCGCTACTGAATCATTCATCTGATGCAATATAATTTCATTTCATAAAGTTTACAGGGGAGATATAAAAACAATCCGTTACTTAATCTCGTTTAGAAATGAAATATTAATCCAACAATAAGAAAATAGTTTGTTATAACTGCAATCACAAAATAAATTTTAGTACTGGCATCGATTTTTCAGAGGACATAGAAGCAACATTTTTTTAAACAATATTAATCAGGCATAAAGTGATACTGAAACTGAACGATAATAGTTTCGATAATAACGATAATAGTTTTTCCGTAACGTTCAGAACGGACTAATATAATAAGTTATTATGCAATTAGTTCAATTGGTCCTGAATTTTAGCCTTATTGCGACTGTACCAAGAAGTGGAAAGTCTTTTGCGGCTGATTGGTTATCTCGTTAGTTGCATGAACCTTGATAATTGCATGCATTCTCAGTTTTCCCGTGACTATTCGCAATTCTCGTGCATGTGAATTTATTTAAAAGTATCAAAGTAATTGACAATAACGTTTTATTACTGTTTAATATGAATTTGGGTGTATAGAAAAGTACGTCCCACGTGGATTCCATCGAAATCTGAGCAGTAATTTCATTTCCTTAAGTATTCTAAACCTGTTTGATTTTTATGGCATGGTTGCAGCGGAATTTGTGGTTGTAATAGTTAATCTCGTAATAGTTCAGGTTCACCTGAGGAAATCTGTGAAATACATGCCTTGCATTCTAAACTTCGTACGAAACATTTCAGCTGTTTTGCATACCCGTCGATGTATACTAGAGACATTTATGAAATCGCTATACTGTTCATTTCAGACAATCATAGTATGATAAATAGAAGCGTTTTCTCCAATGTTCGCAATGATAGTGATTGTAACACTACATAAAATTTGTACCGTTAACGTATTACACGTCCCAAAACAATGCTATTAATTAATGTCTATTGTTAATGTTAAATTGCAAAATAATGTACTGCAAAAGCCAGATGAATGAATCAAAATATGCTACTAAATAAATATTGTAGTTTCGCGAAGATGTGAATCTTAATTATCATGTATTTATTATTAACACGTTGGTTTTTACAGAAATAAAACGTGTTATTTTGGTAAAATAATAGAAGAAGAAGAAACCGATGGTGAACACTGTCACTTTCGATAGAAATGCAGTAAAAAATTCTTCAAAATGTTATCTCATAATGTACGGGCATAGAGAAGGGAAAGAAGTCAATACGTGGGAAACATTAAAATTGAAAAAATAACAAAAAATTGAAATTTTAAATTCTAAGAAGTTCGTAATACGAATAATAAATTGAAGTAAATGAGGAACATGGGAATGCCAATTCGGACACTTACTTGTACTCATTTCCCAAATTAACATAGCGAGCCCGTAAACATCGCTCTCTTTTCGTGGTTCATAATCGTGGAAAAGTTCTGGCGCTTGCCAACGGAAAATTTCGTTTCTTAACCGCTCCTCGTATTCCCTGTTCGGTTTCGGCTATAGTGAAATCACAATTGAAAAATTCGTCAAGTAAAAATAATACAGGTGAAATTGCGGCGTTACTTGAACAAACACATCTAATCACAGTACAATCATAATTTGATAAAGTTTATAACATCGATAATAGTTTTCACTAACATAAAGAGTACAGCGTTTTAATTAGACCTAAAAACGCGGCGAAATTAACAAATAAACCTCTGATGTTCTCGATTATCTTTACATCGAATCTATTTCCTAGTTACACACGCTTTATCGTATTGCCTAAAATTCTGAAACTTTCTCTATTGTGCATGGTTAATTATCTTATGTACTTTCACTGTATTCAACGTAGACTACATTAGCATATTATTGTACATTTTATGCGCACTGCAATGTTACATTGATTTGATGATATTAATTATGCCTGAAGAAAGTGGTGTGAACCGTGGATAATTTGTCTACGTATATGTAAACTACAGGGAATTTGTTTGCAGAAATGCATATGTACGCAAATACTATCGAACTCAATTTCCCTTTTGTTGGTTTGTTTTACACTTCCTTTAGCGTGACATAAACATTATCTCGCAGCATTTGTCGTTGCGTATAGTACAAATGAATTAAAAATTTTTTGGTAATGTGTTGAACGAGATTGTAAATTCCAATAAAATTAAACGATTTAATACGTAATAGAGTCGAAGAAATTTTGTTCCAAGGACGATAATGTTTTTCAAAAATATAAAAACAGAATATCTGCTATACAGTTAACAGAGTCGTATAAAAATAAGTAAAATTCATTGCTGATAACATATTTTATAAATATTATATTATATATTTTAATAAGAATCTTTCAGAATTTGTTTAATTTAAATTAATAAATAAACAAACGCCAAATATTTTAATTTTACTATGGGTCCGTAGATTTTTCCGACTGACTGTACGTGAAATGTGGGCTATATATATATAATATCACCAAAATATGATTGTGTAATCCACGGTGCGATTATTACGTAATCAAAATAATTATAATTAAATCCGTGAAAAAATATGTTCGAAATGAGTCAGTCGTCCAAAAATAATGGCCACGGCAGATATGGCAGTCCATTGTCTATCATCCACGTGAATTTCAATGGTTCTGTCGGTCGATACAATTAAGACTGCCACGGTACAGTGAATTTATTCAAAAATGAACATTTTGTGAGAAACAACGTCGACAATTTCCTGCTGCGAAGTACCGTTGGGTGCGCCGATGAAACGACGGATATGACGTTGCACCCGCACGATTTGTGTGAACCGCTCTTCAGTACTATTCCAAATAATTAGAGTATCCGATCGAACGCGAAATTGTCGAATATCGTAACTGAATTTTGAATCGTATTTCTTTCAAGTTTTGTCTCAGGATTCTTCTCATTAACAGTGGCGTGACTTTGAAATAGTAACGAAATAAGTCTGCGAAAATTGATGGCCCGACTATGGCAATCGTATGTGGCTGACACAATTTTTCCTAAACTTGGAAATGAATTTTTATTATAAACCATCCAGTAAGCTTTTTGTTAGAATCAATGAGGAGTAAGAAGCTTAAAAAAGCAGTTTGCTATAATTGATCTTGTCTTTTCTATTCTTAAATTAGTAACACGTTGACTGGCACATTGCAACCCGAAGGAATTATCCAAAAACTTTAGTTAAGGAGACCAAAACTGGAAAGTTAAAACTGACTAAAGTGAATATCCTGCATGCTTCCACTAATGGATAGACTGTGGATTTTATACATTTCTGACAAAAAAGTATAGATCAGAAACAAAACTATTAAAACATCAGGAGAATTTAAAGATGTTTTTACATTATTTTCAATTTATTATAATTATTGAAAAATGAAGACATCTTCATTTAACTTGTTAACTTTTACAACTTTCACATTTTCCATTAATAACATTCAGTCTACTCGAATACGTAACAATGCAAAGCTTCGTTTGATCAAAGAATATCAACGCGTTGTACAAGTTGCTCTGATTTTGTGTCCTTTATGGTCACTCGTGTGGCAGTCAACGTGTTACTACAACGTTTTATCAATGTGAAGCAATATATGATCACACTGTATTATTTGGATGAGGCTGTGTAACCATACTTCACCGCTTTGTTACATTTCCGCACCTCACCAATGCGGAGCGAATTGCTTTCTCAACCCTCTTGCAGTTCGTAGACCGTAAGCAAATTTGGTATAGCTAATCTACCGGGTTAAAGGTTCGTTTTTGTGCCTGTTCTAACAATCCTCTTAGACGAATATTGTACGATACAGTGATAAAAGATAAAATAATGAAATTAATCTACTCACATTATCGACCTGCATAGCCAGCTCCCATCCCCCGAGTTTCACTATGCCGCTGGAAGCCAGATAGACGCAATGCGAACTGATGGCACTGTGCACGTACCCGAGAACATGGGAATGTCTTAAAGCATCGGAGAGTCTTCCTACGCATTTCGCTATGCTCTGTATCGATATCCGTTCACCCTGCTCGTGTATGTAATGGTAAAGGGTGCAATCGACGGGTTCGAAAATGGAAACTAAACCGTAGTCATCCGTATGCGTCATGCCCATCAAGAGTAATACGTTCGGATGTGGAATTTCTCTGAATCACACAAATACACGAAAAAAAAATTACCTTTTCACAATCCATTTTTCCCTAAATTCCTTCATGTTTGAATAGGAAGCTATTTATTGCCTTATCTGAAGAATTAGTCCCTTTTAATGCTCGCACAATGTGGGAACCCATTTTGGGGTAGCTTATTATAGTGATATTATAATGATAAATGATAAATTTTATATATATATTATTATAAATAGACTTATTTATATTATTATAATATATTATATTATAATTATTATATTATATTATTATTAATTATATTATAATATTAGATTATATTATATATTATTATAATGATAAATGATAACAGTACGTACTTGGTATTAAATTGGATTGTTCAAGGATTAAATACATAGAGCATTGAGGTAATTGAATCTCAGAAAATGGGGGTGAAATTTGCCGTTTAAATTTAACATCGATCTGCAATCTATTTACAGATGGTACAATATGAGAAATCTTGGCTTTACCGGGGTTAATATTGATTCAAGATGGTACGTAGTTTTAACAGGAATGTGATAACGACGCTAATTGATACTTACAGGAGTACATCTAAATCAGCTTTCACCGCGCCTTTGCATTCGGGATGGATATGTCTCTTGAGAGAAACTCTTGTGTTTTGCCACTCGGCAAAGATTAGTTCAAGATATCGGTCTTCCGTGCCCGCTACCCAACCGACTTCGAAAATCTCCGAGGCAGGCACAGAGGGTACGCTACGTGAGATACATTTGCTTTCTTGGAGTCTGCGTTCATTGTCGTATTTGTTGTTATTCTTTTTGGCAAGAAAATCGGCCCTTGTTTTGTCGGGACTGCTTGGCGCTTCCTTCCCCAGCTCTGAGCATCCGTCTGAGCATTTTCTACGGTCTATGAAAGCTTGAAGAGCACTTCGGTAGGAATCACTGGAAGAAAAAGCGTTGTATTTCTTGTTTTATTTATTTAGAAAATCACAGAACAGATTTATACAATTTATGTGTACACGTATTATATTCAAATTCGCAAGTTACATTTTTTTGAGAAAATAGGGAAAGTGTAAAAATAGGCTGTTTGATTTATCAGTGCCTTAATGGAAACCTACATTATTGCAAGTAACAAAAATATTCAATTTGATTAGCCGAATCCAACAGGGTGCCATATGAAATTACATAGAATGTTGTAAATCATGTCATAAATTTCTTATCTCCCCTTATGCATTTTTATACCGTGCCTACAGCTGCTCGCGCACAACGATAATAAACTGCCTCGAATAATACCTTGAAATTAGTTTCAACGAACGTTATGGTATCGTAAAAAATCATACAGTTCCATTTAAAATAAATAATTTCAAATTTGAAAGTTTTCGTTAATTCATCGTTACTTTCGTAATTATCGAAACAAAATTATACCCTTACAATAATAATCAGAATGTGGCATAATTTTCTTCAAATAATATACGGTGATCGACATTAGAATGAAGCTCATCAAGTAAAGAATCATACGGAATCAAATATGTCCTTTCATTGACAACTTCACCGAATTTCGATACTTTCGCAACGAGTCTCATTCATTATCAACGATTAGATTTAAGTTATCCAATATGATCGATTATTTTGTTTCTTTCGAAGATAGGTTAACTTTGCGTGTACACGTAAACTTTTCGTGAAGCTTATAACGTAAATATAATCCCTGCGAGTGTACCATGTTTTGTTTCTTGGAGATATGATATTTGAAAACCACCGCGAATTTGACGTTTGCACGTATAACTTGTACTTCGTGAAACAAAGACTACAAGTAAAAGGCATTATAGTGGATAGCACGGTGAACGCGCGTGCGAATGTTAATTTAAGTTCTACACGTGAAATCGAAATGCGATGGTGTTAATTTAAAACAGAAGTAAACAGAAATTGTAAGACTATTCGAGATGCGTCGAGTGAAGTGTTCGATTAGAAGACCACTGTAGACGCTGTCAGTTCGCATTTTTCAGTTCTGCTGCACGTTAGGAAATAGGTTAAGGCGCTTATTGGTTTTGTTAAAAAAACTTCGTCACTTACGACTGTACGGTATAACGTCTCTTCTCCTGTTGTTTTTTCATTATCAAGATAAAGATAACTATATCACACTTCAACTAAGGATCTTAATTCACCGAACTTCAAAACACGTGAATATCGCTCTGGTTACTCTGGAATATCTACTAGATCGATTATCGAAACGTAAATCGTTTGCGTAAATATTATTGTCATTATCGAATATCTTGTATTGCGATTGGCAGGACCTAAAGTTTGGATATATTGAGCAGTTAATTGTTCGAATTCGAATCTTTTAAAATGCTAAGATCTTTTGACAATTAATTGGTAATTATCTTTTGTCGGTGATCCGTACTTAAATTATGTGAATTTGGAAACAGTGTTAATGGTCCAATTGAACGCGGGAATCCTAACCAATGTACGCGCACACATACGAGACAGTTTCACGGATGTCGATCGACAGTGGTGGATGATTTCCCGAGGCAGGTGCGGTCATAATCATTGTTATTTTGTCCTGTTCAGTGAAGTTCAACGTTATTACAATGAACCGGAACCGAACCTAACATTGAACCCTCATTGAAATAGCTTTTGGATCTACGTAAGTAAGAATCCTTATTTCATTTGATGTACAATTTTATTTTGTTGAAACGAACTATTAAAAATTTTCTTTATTTTCTTAAATTGGCGTCATTTTTAAGATTATAGATCCACGTTTTTTCATAGATATTATGACGAGTTTTTAACTAGTTGTAATAATAAATCTAGATTCAATCTAAATCTAGATTAATAATAAATCTAGATTCAATGTAAATCTAGATTAGTAATAATACTAGATTCAATCTAAATCTAGATTAATAATAAATCTAGATTCAATCTAAATCTAGATTAGTAATAAATCTAGATTCAATCTAAATCTAGATTAATAATAAATCTAGATTCAATCTAGGGAAGCAGTAGCAGAATTTAATCATTTTAAGTATTAACTTTTTTGTTCACAGCTAACACTGTTACATTTTAGAGGTTCAATGCACATGGAAATAATTATCAACAATGTGAGAGTACACACACTATTTGCTATATCAGGCAATATTGAAATACAATATGAATTATTTATTCGCAAATTGAGTAGTACGAGAAATTATATTTTTAATGCAAGTAAAGATATTCAGGTGTTGTAATTCTCGTGAGTTATCCAGTTTAATATTGTGTATTATAAACAGCGTTTTATTAACACTTGAGTCTTCAACGAGGTAGCGGCTAAGTGCCGGTGGCACCACAGTGGTATCATGTTTATAGCTAAAAGGCAAATGCCGGCGACAGATGAAAGTACTTCTATCACAGGTACCAGGCGTCGAACTATTAATTAAGATAATTATATTTGACTTACTTGTTTAGAATACACGGCTTCTGTGCTAAATTCCACCCGTTTCGTTCTCGCTGAGTAATGTCTCTGTTACAAAAACAAATAAAACTTAAACAAACCTAATAAAAATAAATAAAACTATTATAACTAAAGCTGTTAAACACCTTAACAGTGAGGGATTTACGATTTTTTCGCTTTTAGCTTGATATATCGCACAGTTTATGTTCGTTTAATCCCGAAATGGTACCCTGGGGTCTCTTATGACCCCAACGAAATGTTCCGTGTACTGATTTTCATTATTCCATTGCAAGATAATCGCAAATATGAAAATGCTTTAATTTATTTGCAATATTTAGGCTTTGAAGTCTTAAATTGTATATCACAAAGTATTTTGGTACATTTTTTTTACGGTGAATATTATTAATCTATTTTTTGTTTTTAAATATAAAATATTCGATTTTTTTACATTATGCATTAGTCGTACAATTTAAGCAAATAACGCAATTGTTTAAACATTAAGTATTTTCAAATGAATTACAACGTGAGACAGAAAATCCTCCCAGTTGATTATCTGAACAATGAATTGCACTCCAGTTAATGGGTAAAATTGACTGATTCAAATTGATCCAAATTGCGAGGAATTTTCTCGTCTCCCGATGTTCCTCATCGCACTATCCTCCTGATTCAATCAGATAATAATTGCATACTTTAGTTTCATATTGATCACAAAGTTTACTAAATGCACATTTCAATTTTATCTAAAATCAGAAATGGATAGCCGTAGATTATTGCAGTCCCTGACTAAACAATGATTACGCGAAGTGCATAAAGCTGCAGCTATTTTACAAGAGAAGCATTAATTCTTATACATAAATATTTGTAAATAAAATAACAAAGTGAATAAAGTATAAATTATTTTCCATAGTTCGTTAATTATTTTGGAATAACAGGTTAGACTCGTTAAAGTACAGCAAAGGGGTTAATATATATATATATATATATATATATATATATATATATATACTCCGTATTAGTACAATAAAATTATTGAAAGAATTCTATTCATTTCTATGTAGAAATAATTATGAACGAAAAATTAATTAAGGAACAGATAAAGAGCGTAAAGAGTTCTAAGTAACACGTTGGAAAATAAACGAATGTTATCTTCACTAACGGTCAGAAATTACAATCTCCTATCAAAGTTTATCGCTGCTGTACTCGGTGGAAGAACTAATTAAGACTTTCCAATTTGCATTTGATACTGACACTAAGATGTTAGTTTCCATCTGTCTACATATACATAGAACCAAATCAGTCTCCATATACATTGCAGTCTTCATTTCAAATCTAACTCTCGTAAAATCTGTGAGGCAGGGAATCTGTCAACGTTTTTATTCCTTCAGCAATGAAGATTGAAACAGAGATGTACATGAGTGACACAATTACTTCAATCGGTCTTACAAAAGTCTACATTGTCTCAGTAAATTGATCATGCTGTTTCGTTTTAGTTATTAAGAAGCACAATTTTATTTAATATATTATGATATTATATACATATATTAATTACAGTTTTCTGTGATATTAATAATATTTGTCTACCATACTCGCGTAACTTAATTTTTTTATTATATTTAGTATACTGTATAGAGGTTCTGTAAAATTGTTGAAATCATTTATTAACAGGTTAAGCGCGGAGCCGATTTTGCTTGCTTTTTCGTTCAGGCGGCAGGCCGACATTATTTTTTAACCTTGATACTGCCGGTCCCATGGGCCGATGCCATCTAAACGATAAATTCGCTATCAGTCCCTGGGAACTGACGCCGTCCAAACGGAAAGTCCACTGTCAGCCCCAGAGGGCTGACGCCGCCCTCAACGTGTTAATAATTGTGGATTTACCGAAATTAAAATCTAGTAAACTTACAAAATCATAGCAGATATTTACAAATGTCTTTTTTAAATAAAAGGCAGTTTTATAATACAGGCAGTTTGACTGTAAACAAAACTATGTGCATTTAATTTTGAATAAACTAAATATCTCCTGCTGAGTGATCATGATATTTAAGTGATGGTACCAAACAATGTTTTACATGGAATTTGACTGACATCAAGAGACGAATACGATGCCAGAACTAGTCGCAATAATTTTAGAATTTTTCAAGCTCATCGATGTTGATTTACATACAGCTTTTAATTGCATTAATTGCTCTTTTAATTGCATCGTGTGGCTGACGTTCAAATACAATCAGACATTTGACTCCAAACACGAAAACAAAACGTGATATTATTGTCTGTCGGAGTCCCAAGATTTAGGAGACGAATGCAACATGCAGCAATGTATAATGCTATACTAATATCGAGTTGAATTTATTGATGTATTACAAAATACATTATTTCATTAAAAAAAAAACAAAGTTGATATTTACGTAACCTTTACGCATCCACTCACGAAAAAATGAATAACATCATAATATACCCTGCTCGATACCATTCAAATTTCCTCCGAAACATTTTTCTCTACGAGTAATAATAATCATGTAAATTAAAGTGGTAATATGCGGTGACCCCCACCCTGTATCGGTGGCAATTTTTAGGCGGATCACTCTGTATATTTTCAAATTGCAGTGACACAGTTCATTGGCGAGTTTAAATTGAGGCACACTATGTGGATCATGCGTATCTCATGACCGTATTTCCTGTTCCTCGTGCTGGAAAATAAGGAACTGGCAACGCGAGTTTGAATATTAACGTAACTAGTTTTCCGTGAACGAAGGATGCAAAATCTGAACATGAAAAATGCTTACTCGTACGATTTGTTCTTTTTGCATTCTGTGATCTGCTCTGGTATTTAATGCCCACGCCTAATTTGCGTAATCTTAATTCGAAAGAGGCACAGATACGATACCTGGAGCACGCATCATTTTTATAGTAGCAGAGATATGCCTGGACGTAACGAGATTACGGATAGTTGCGGAACAAGATTTCAAGAGCGAAATAGGCGTCACGGTTTTCCTCGATCGGAGAAACAATTTCGAAAATAATTATTGTTAAGAAAGATTTATCTAGCAACTATTAAATATATATATATGTTTTAAAACAATGAAACCCCAAACTGGAAACCCGATCGTCGTGTCCAAAATTATTTATATTTATTGCATGGTTTAGTCCTTTGCACTCGAATGGTGACTCTGAGGCAGCACTAAAATTTGTTACATCACCTTTTAAAATAATTTTGATATTAACAAAGTTTAGATTTAAAAAATTGTTAAGAGTGTAACTGTTGTGCGAGTCCCAAGTATCAATTTCATATGCATAAAATGCATTTTGTCATGTAAAATAGAAATACTATAAGTTAGAAAAATGATTTTATATTTTCAGTTAAAATAGCTGAAGAGTGCAATAGGTCATTGAATTCGTCTCGACACCAGCTATAATATTATAAAGTCAGTAATGTATATTAATATTTAAAAAATCGAAATGACTTCAATTATTTATAACAAGAAGTTTGTTTCTGAAATTTTATATATTAAAATTTGTAGAAAAATGAATATGGATAAACTTTTGTTGGAAACATTTTGTTACCAGCTCATGGGAAATCTGTGAAAAATTGGGCCGCATTGGGCCGGTCACAGAACACGTCTTAGAATAGGAAACTTCAGCTAAAATTTGCATGCGTACATGTTGAAGTTCCGAGCTTTCACCAAAAATAAATCTGAAAGCTAGCAGTTTTAAGCATTTTTTAAAACTCTCCATAAAATTTACATTGTATTTAACTTTATATTCTTCGCGCATCGCACAGTGATCTGGCCAAGCAGCGTACCGGGGTCAAAATTCAATGCCTTGAGTTTAAAATATTAAAAAGCGTTTTCGTGGCTATAAATAAAATCATAAAATTCAAAGTATAATTAAACGTTTTGCACACCAGTCATAGAATATGAGAAAACAGATTTCAATGGCGATGTTTTGTATATATAATATTAGCTGATGCACTTGAAGTATTGAATCTAGTTTGAATCATTTTTTAATCCATATAGAAATAGCGTAAAATGGATAACAATTCAAACATAACTCTATAACTTCTTTAAGTAGCATTTTCTTCCATTGTATTCAATAACCAAGTATTTAAATGGACAGAGTTCCTGGTACACACTGTATATGCAAACAGTATTTGGACACCTGGGCAAGCAGTCAAGCGGTAAGCGTGCTCGTTATTAAACGCTCGTATCCAATTTCAAAACAAACCACTATTTTTCAGACATCTCCGATGGTCTGATAAAAAAATGTTTTCATCAAAAGTTGGCCAGTATTTACTTTTCTACAAATTAGAATATAAAAATTTGTAAAAAGACATTTTTTCATAAAAATATGCTGGTCACCTCGAGTCTACAAATGTTAATATATATTTTTGACTAAATAATATTCTAGCTAGTGATGACACGAATTCAACGACCTACTATGCTATAATCTTAAACCTTGAAACAACGTTAAAGTAATTTTGGACGAGATAAACGAGTTACTCGCCTACTGTGCATTAATTGAAACTTGCTTATATCACCATTAAATAACTGAAAATACAGCTGCTCACACGTATGAAAATATAGCACAAATTTACATTTTGTTAAACTACTTTATCGCAATTTCAATTTCATAGGTTTCCAGTTAAAACACGCTGTATCTGCTGGGAAAAGTTATCCGAAAGATCTAACATTTTGAATTCCGAGATTTTAAAGTGCCCATATTTGAGAGAGACAGAGAATTTCGTGCAAGTATGATAGTTTAAAAATTGTGTTCTGGCTATAAATTACCGCTTTCCAGTCCACATTAAAACGCGACAACATGATAATCACCAGACGACTGATACAACTTCATTTATAGTTCAAATGGATATCACGTCGTCTGTTGATTCCGCTCGTTCATTCCGAGACGTAGCTATTAACGGAGAAAGCATACAGCGCATTAGTATGCCTAATAAACCTTTATTGTGCGCTCGCGAAGTAACAATTTACCCCGACACTATTCTGAGACTCGCGTCGCCACAGTTTCATTAGTGACAATTATATTGCAGAAAATAGTGGAATCCGCGAATGTCA